CTTTTAGCGTTATCGTATACATTGCTGATACTACAGCTAGTTCTGTTGACGTCCCTAGCTCAGTTGTTGGTAATAGTGATGCTGCAGCATCAAGTTCTGTCGTCAAAGATTTTGAAATCACGGATGTTGGCTGCAGTGGTACAGTTTCTTTTGAAATTCCTGAGGCTGCAGTTTCTGCTACTGCTCCTACAGCTGTTGTTGTTGTTTTTGCGGAAGGTGTTGATGTTGCTTTTAATGTTACTGCGGCTTGCTTAGTTATCTCAGTTGACCAAGTTAAAGGTGAGTTTTGTTCTAATTTTGGTGTTGATGATGTCCTTGTGGCCACATCTGCTTTTTTCATTGTTATTGTTGTTGTTGCTATTGATGAAGATTTTAAATGTATGTCTGACGTTGACGATTCTGATAGTGGTGTATTTATTGTTTTTGATAATAACGGCGTAGAGAATGGTGACAAAAATAACGATGATGACGTTTCTGGCGCAATTTCTGCTCGTGAAGTTAATGATTCTGACAATGCTGACCTTTTTACAGTTTTTGCTTCTGTTGGGATTGACAACTCAGCTGAATGATATTGCTGAATGACGCTGGTGCGGATGCTTCTTGGCGAAGACGATGAACTTTGTAGAGGTATTGATACTGAGTCTCTTGTTACTTGTGTTGTTATGTCCGTTGTTTGTTGTGCTGTTGTTGTATCTGATGTTGGCTTTGCTGTGGTAGTATCTGTTCTTAGTTTTGCTGTTGTTGTATCTATTAGCTTTGCTGTGCTTGTTTTCGCTGTTGGTTGTGCTGTTATTGTATGTGATATTGGCTTTGCTGTGCAGGTGTCTGTCATAAGATGTACTGTTATTGTTACAGATGTTGGCTTTACTGTGGTAGTGTCTGTTTTTAGTTTTGCTGTTGTTTTATCTGTTAGCTTCTCTGTGCTTGTTTTCGTTGTTGGTTGTGCTTTTATCGTATCTGATGTTGGCTTTGTTTTGGTAGTGTCTGTTGTCAGTTGTGTTGTTGTTGTATCTGAGGTTGGGTTTGCTGTTTTCGGTGTGGCTGTTGTTTCATGTTGCGTTTGTACAATAGTTGTTTCTGGCACTTGATTAGGATCTATAATTCAAAATGAATTTTTTGTGATTCTAAAATACTAATGGAGCTGAAGGAAGAGCAGCGTAACGGAGTAACAGAATAGGAGCTTAAGACCTCTGACTCCAGGCCTTAAAGCAAGTTAACTAACACTTATAGTTGAATTAAGTTTCCGCTAAAAGACGAATTGCATTATTTTTTTATAAGTTTCAATAGGCATAATGACTGGCTGACTAGTGGCCAGCTCACAGTCTGATAACAAACGCCCCGACGGAAGGACTAGCTGTCAAAGAAAAAGCCGCTTACTTAACCCTTACTTTATACAAAACAGCATTACCTAGACAGTGACGATTTTCACCGTTGTTTTGCAGAGTACATATAAGGCCCAAAGGACAATTGAAATCGTTACAAGAAACATTCTCTGTAAAGGAATGAAAAAAGAAAAAAAAGGTGTAACTTTCATCGCGTTCTGAGAAATGAACTAAGTTCTTTCTCCGTAGCAAATCCCAGTAAAGAAGGAAAAACCTAACCAACTCATATGCATGCAGTTTATGAGTGGTAATAAGACATCTATAAAGGTGTTTATAATTCAAAAAAGCCTCGACTTTTTCAGATATCCCCTCCTCCCAATCCCCCCTCACCTCCCCCAACACCACCTCCCTAAAGAATAAGAAAAAACTCAAACCTCTAAAAGTCACCACAAAACTCATGTGAAAAAGCTGAACACCGAAAGAGGCCCTTTTCACCTCTCCAACAGATTACTTTGATGTAGTCTGTGTACTTACCGACACCATTTGTGCAGTAGCGCCAGGGAGGGGAACATTCTCCATTGTTATAGAGCTTGTACATGTAAAACGCACCACAGTTTATTATTTGAATAGATTGTTCTTGCTCACATGCTTTGTTTCCTTTAGCTATACACAACTTCCTGGTAACTTCACCTTCACCAAAAAGCGGATGTTGACCTTTCAAGTACAGACGATCAGTGGTACCGCAACTTCCCTTAGCAGGGGCGTTATTTGTGGCAAGGGCGTTGCCTGCGTTTCCTGACACCACGTACCAATAATGCCATTCTTCCCTAAGGTCATCGCCATCACACCTGTCACTTGCATCTCTATATTTCTCTGACCGATCTCCTTGGTTCAGTTCTTTGTAGTTATCAAGATTACAAGGATCTACGGACAGAGGTAACATCAAACTAGGGAAGTTGATCCCCATTCCAATTTGCTGGACTGGTTACTTAAAGAAAGTTTTAGTCTTTGTACAGAAAAAAACATGTTCTAAACCATCTTTAACTAAATAGAATAAGAGAGATGGTAAGTTTTAAGCTCGGTAAAGGAATAGAGAAAGATGTTTTTCGTCTTGTCACTAGGCTAAACTTTTTATCTGAAATGATGATGTTTTCCGTTTAACGTTTTTCGTCTGATGATGTTTTTTGTCTTGTCACGAGCTAAAGCTTTTATCTGATATTTATTTTTGTGAACAGTGTTAAGAGAGCCGGAAGCCAACAGGGGAAAGACATTTGTCGAACAAACTCAACCCTCTTATAGCGAAAACCTGAGGTCCACTGCTTGCGTAAAACCGCGGTTTGGGTAAGAGCTCGTGTAAATAATCGGCCCACTATGTTGCAATGTTGCAGCTCATAGTTTCAAGAAGACTTCCATGCAGGATCTCCCCCCAAAAAAAACAAGCAAACAAACAAAACAAAACAAAAAATCAAATAAACAATTATAATAATCATTTGCAATACCGAATGCTAATTTGGCCTCATTCAACGAATCTATATACCAGGAGCATCCAAACTATCTCTCACTAAACGAGTTCGAGGTCCGTACTGTAAGTTGTGGAGTTTTTTTACGATCGTGCGCCATAGCTTCGAGCCAAAATCAATAATGAAAAAGTTAATCAACTAGAAAAAAAGCAAAAAAAAAGCGAAACAAAATAAATCCAGGTTCCGTAACTGGCAGTACGGACAAAATCGACGTTAATAAGGTATCTATTTCATCTCTAGGTTTAAATAGAAGGGGATGATTTCAGGTAAAAATATTAAGCTTTTTAATCCAGCGAGCATGTACAGTGAATTAAGTCAGCAAAGGTTAATAATCGGAGTGCAAGTACTAACTGAAAGATATGGTAATTCAATTTATAATCAGGCTTAAGATAACAATACGTGAAGCTCGTGTGACGCTTAATTTGCGGTGAGGAACGAGTAGTGATCGACAATGCACGATACTCATAAGGATTATTTTACAGGAGACTTTGGTGATCGGATCCTCTCTCGACACGCCACATCAATAAAACATAGATACGAGCATGTGAAGATCGTTTGAATTACCAGTAGTATCAAAGCATTCTTAAAATATTTAATTGGAAACCGAGTGTTTGTAAATTTATTTCACAGAGAAGTATTTTCTCCGTTGAAACCAACGCTTGGACTTGTTTTAAGGCTGCTCTCATAAAGATGAGTTGAAATTCTTTCTTCTTAGATGGTGCTTAAACAATTATTCATGGAATTAAATTGGAATACAGTAAAAATACAAATTAGAGATTACTTGGCTTAAATCCTATTTAAAATTCAGGATTTCATTTCTCTGTTTCTGATATCCATTCAGTTAAATCAGGTTCAACTACACATGTTTGGTAGTGTTGATATTGTGTTAGATTTCTAACTGCTCCTGATTTTCATTCAGTTAAATCAAGGTAAACTAAATATGTTTTGCCAGCGTGAATAGGGTATTAGATTTTCACAATTCAGATTACTCTCTATTCCTGATTTTCATTCAGGTAAACCGAGTTTAACTAATCATATTTTGCTGGTGTGAATGGGGTGCTGTATGTCTAAACTTTGGATTACGATCTCTGTTCCAGTCGAATTTAACATAGGTTGATCTAATCATGGGCTGAGGAATTTAAAGTGGGTAAAATTTTCAATTTTAATTTAAAACGTGAGTCCATCTCAACGGTTAAAATGATTTATATATTTTCTTCCGTTTATATTTACAAACACCAGAAATTCTTAGGAAAGGTTTCGTGCACGCACGTTTAAGGCCCACAGACCAAATCAAACCTAGAGAGCTGGCTTCTAGATCTTCATAGGTTACATTAATAATTGAAATCTGATGTAATAATTTATGCTGCAATCAAAATAAGGTCAAACTTTTCATGCTTTTTTCAAAAACTTACATCTAGTCGTTTCTATTTGTCATTAATTACTAAGTGATTCGCGGAATGTTTTCTGCCGCTATTACATGCAAAAACGACAATAGTGCTTCATTCATCCTCTGAATTTTACCTAGTGCTTTTCAAGTAAATGTTGTCACGCGTTTAGCTTCCAAAACTAAATAGCTGAACTAAAGATATCAAACTTTAAGAAATTTAATTAAATAAATTGATGCCTTTTCCGTTTCCCACCGATTGATTTGTTAATTTGAATCAAGCTGGAAACCGTTTCGTTTACAAACATATCCGTTATGAGAGAGATGATTCTTAATAGTTGAAAAAAAAAAATACACCTCTGATCTCCGACAAACATTTGTAGGTGAGTTTTGATGTGCAAAGCTTCTAACCAGAATTTCAACAATGAAGTCGTCTCGAATTTTTTTTTTTTTAAATTATCTAAAGAGTAAATGGTTTACAGCATTACCTTCGCCGAGCGTGAAAATCAACTTTCTGGCAAAACACAACGCCAAACAGACCTGTAGCTGAAAAGAAAGAGAAGAACTAGTTGACAATGTGTGAAAATTTTTTGAAAAAGCTAAGGTAATTTCTTTAGTTTTAACGATACCTGAGAAATGTTCATCTCACTTCCTCCTGAGCACGAAAATTAATATTGCTCAAAGGCAGGAATCTGCAAACTCGCTGTGTAGGGCATCTGCACTTACACTTTACTCAAGAAGGACTTATGTAACCGCGGAATCTAAAGAAGCTGAGACAATGATGCATAAATAGCAAATTGACCAAGCTGAATCAACTCTCTAAATAACAGAGGTATGTCCTGCTGAGGTAAGATTTACATAGACTTTCATTCATGGCTTGTCTCAAGCCACCTGATTACACGTTTAATAATTAATTGTTCAAGTCTAAAAAGAAAGTTTTAAATCCATTTCTAGGAAAAAGCAGAAAATCTTATTGCATTATAGTCATAGCATGAAATGAATTTAGCTAAGTGATTTGGATTTCGGAGACGAGAACGTTTCCATGATGCAGTTAGGGGATTGTGTTTTCTTGCGAAACTAGCGCGCCTTGAGAAGTGATACATCGTTAACTTACATTCTCCAAAGGCTAATCAGCTATTGAATATAAACACTAGAGTTTCTTTGACTTGGGTAGGAGAACCTGGCTCAGAAACGTGAAAGAACGTAAACGGCAGTTTATGAGAGAAAATAAGATATTTTTAGAGCTCCTAACAGCGGAACTAAACACGATAATTTTTTAAACCTGAAAGCTTAGGACGAATAAGAAAAATTGAAAAGTTTAAAACTATAAATTCATGGCAATTCCGAGGTTATAAACGCTTTTCACTTAGACGCGTGAATTTATCATCTCTTCTAAAGAAATTTAATAAAGCGAAACATAGGTAGTGCAACCTTTAAAGTTCACATATCAATATTTCTTGAGTTTGATCTCCTGCTGAACGACTAAAAGTTACGCAGTAAATACGTAAGAGTAGTAGTGAACAATTATTTTGTTACGTAACACTATTCCAACTGACGTCCCAGCCAAACTTGAAAGAAAAACAATCATAGCTTTCTTAGAGACCTTATTTCTTTCATTCTGAACATCAAAATTCCCTTAATTTATTACGGACGTGATTCCCTCTCATCGTTTAACTAAAGAAAAATTAATTACATAAAAAAATAAAATAAAATAAAAAATTTTAAAAAAATGATTCATAACTTTAAGTGAGGTCTTAACATAGGTTGAGGTCATAAGGTCATGTTCTCTTGAAACTTCGTAACACGGCATTACTAAAATCGATTTTTGTCTACAATATTACGTTAAAGATATCTGCCGGTTTTGTGATCGATAATGGAACAATTACCACATTTGTGGCAGATTCGATTATTTGTTTCACCTTTGATCGATACAGCATATTCATTTGTATTTCACCTTATAAATTTTGAGGGGTGTATCTTTAATCAACACTAAATTATTTATTTTAACTGTTTATGATGATATTTACTCTCCTTGCTTGCTGTTTGAAGAATACAGAGGGAAGGGGGGTTTCAAAGGATGACTTCTTGAATTGAAAAGGACTTCTGTATGTCTATAGCTTGCGTGACTGAAGGGTCTTTGTAGTTTGATGAAGATTTATGCGGCCGAGCGTTAGTTTATTCCTTCTCATTCTCTCCGTTACTTTGCCGCTCATTCGCGCGGTTCTGTCACCCAAAACTCCCGCAAAAGTATCAGTTATGCAAGCGTCGTCATCCCCATATCTTTAGTTTGTTTTTCATGGTCAGGAAGCCTGTAGATCTGCGCAGAGATAAAGCTTTATATTCAGTTAAGAAAAAGGTTACATAGCTCAGGCCAAACTGATATGCCTCCATGTGATTTATCTTTTCCGAGAATATGATTAGGTGGAGATTTGTTTGGTGGGGCAACTGCAGGCTTGACGATGGGTCGACCAGAGTTGTTGGGTTTATGGATATTAGGTTAAAAGAAAATAAGAAATGCGCACTGTTTGAAGATTTGTGATGATTAAATTTGTGGCAGTTCTTGTTTTGCGAAAAGGCCGTTCACAGTGCTTTGGACAGTTTTTGTTCTCAGTAATTGAATTTTTTTTTCTAATTTTGCATAAAAATAGGTTTCAAAAATTGACGCGAAGCTCCTCTTTTGTTGAGGTCGGCCCGCCAAACGACACAGAACCGGCTTTGTCGGCCGCTTTGATAACTATTTCTTCGCCTTTTATAAGACTTTAAGCACCGCCCAAGAGATGTTGACAATTGCATGACTGGATATGTACCAGACTATTTGAAAACAGAGGAGAGATATCTCGCAGGGCAACTCGTAACTCTCGCCTTCTAAACATCCTACTTTTTAAAACAGCATCTGGACAGAGAACAATTAATTATTGAATGGTTTCCTTATGCAACCAGTTGGGTGATTCTTTTAAACTTCGTAACTCAATCTTAGGTTTTAATCGGAGATCATGTAAAACTCTAACCACCAGATTTACATGTAAGATTCAAATTGTCCATTTGTTTTTAGTTTCTTAAAAC